CGAGTGGCGAGTGCAGGGGTGGTGTGCACTAGTATCAGAACTTCTTCCTCTGGCTCTGTGTTTATTTTATTTCTTCGTATGGCTCTCTGTGGCAGATGTTGCCAGGTCATTCCCGTCAGATGACCAAACCATCTCATCTTTTGATTTTTAGTTAACTGTATGACTGCCTTCATGTTTAATATTATCTAATTGTATCCAATTGTATCTAACTGTATTTAATTGTATTTAATTGTATCTAACTGTATCTAATTGTATCTAACTGTATTTAATTGTATCTAACTGTTTTTAACTGTATCTAACTGTATCTAAGTGTATCTAACTGTATCTAATTGTATCTAACTGTATCTAATTGTATCTAACTGTATCTAATTGTATCTAACAGTATTTAATTGTATCTAACTGTTTTTAATTGCATCTAAGTGTATCTAAGTGTATCTAACTGTATCTAATTGTATCTAACTGTATCTAATTGTATCTAACTGTATTTAATTGTATCTAACTGTATTTAAATGTATCTAACTGTATTTAATTGTATCTAACTGCATTCAATTGTATCTAACTGTATCTAACTGTATTTAATTGTATTTAATTGTATCTAACTGTATCTAACTGTATTTAATTGTTTTTAATTGTATCTAACTGTGTCTAAGTGTATCTAACTGTATTTAATTGTATCTAACTGTATTTAATTGTATCTAACTGTATCCAATTGTATCTAACTGTGTTTAGTTATATCTAACTGTACCTAAGTGTATCTAACTGTTTCTAATTTATCTAACTGTATTTAATTGTATCTAAGTGTGTCTAATTATATCTAACTGCACCTAAGTTTATCTAACTGTTTCTAAGTGTGTCTTTTATCTAACTGTATCTAAGTGTATCTAACTGTATTTAATTGTATCTAACTGTATTTATTGAATCTAACTGTATCGACTGTATTTAATTGTATCTAGCTGTATCTAGGTGTATCTAACTGTATTTATTGGATCTAACTGTATGTAAATGTATCTAACTGTATTTAATTGTATCTAACTGTATCCAATTGTATCTATCTGTATTTAATTGTATTTAACTGTACCTAAGTTATCTAACTGTATTTAATTTATCTAACTGTATCTAAGTGTAACTTTCATCTAACTGTATCTAACTGTATCTAACTGTATTTAATTGTATCTAACTGTATTTAATTTTATTTACCTGTATCTAATTGTATCTAACTGTATCTAATTGTATCTAACTGTATCTAATTGTATCTAACTGTATCTAATTGTATCTAACTGTATTTAATTGTATTTAACTGTATCCAATTATATCTAACTGTATCTAGTTGTATTTAATTGTATCTAATTGTATTTAACTGCATTTAACTGTATTTAATTATATCTAACCGTATCTAATTGTATCTAACTGTATCTAACTGATTTTAATTGTATCTAACTGTTTTTAATTGTATCTATCTGTTTTTAATTGTATCGATCTGTTTTTAATTGTATCAAACTGTTTTTAATTGTATCTAACTGTATCTAATTGTATCTAATGTTTTTAATTGTATCTAATTTTTTTAAACTGTATCTAACTGTTTTTAATTGTATCTAACTTTTTTTAATTTTATTTAAATGTATCCAATTGTATCTAACTGTATCTAGTTGTATCTAATTGTATTTAACTGTATTTAACTGTATCTGATTATATCTAACCGTATTTTATTGTATCTAACTGTATCTAATTGTGTGTAACTGTATCTAAGTGTATTTAATTGGTTCGGGCACGTGGTGAAACATGATTTGATTGCAAAGACTCTACTTCAAGGAACACTGGGGTTAGTCGAAGAAGACGAGGGCAAAGAAGAACCTGGAATGAAAACATCAAGAAATGGACAGAACTAAGTTATCATACACTTATTCATCAATCGAAAGACAGAGAAAGATCGCGGGTTTATGAGCTAGTGTTTACATCGATACACCAGCACGATCCTAACGGGTCAAGGGTTATGTTATGTTAATTGTCTCGTATCTTTTCTTGTTGTTCTGGCAGTTCTTCTCTGTTGTTAGGATTATGCGCTCTTTGTAGTAAGAGCCCTTTACTGAACACATCAGTACATACATAAATCAAATAAAACTACACGAATACACAAACTCACTTAACCGACACACCCCGAAGTAGCCACGTTGATGTCTAGTGAGTGAAATGTTCGGAAAGATGAGTGCTTGTAATGGGGGGGGGGGGGGGGGTGGGGGAGGGGAATTTAAGACGGGCCTGCGTGCCCAGTTTGGAACCCTTAGAAACTAAAGTTAGTTCATTCGTTCGTTTATTCGACAACTAAAGTAATTAATAATCAGTCAGTCACTTAATTCAAATATAACTGTGAATAATTATGTCAATGCCGTCTGTGTTAACTACCCTCGTCGTTGAAATGTCTCTTTCCGTCTTTCACAGGAGATTGATAAACTGCCCTATCATGGGAAGATTAGGCCGGAAGATTAGTAAGTACATGGTTTGACTGCAGTGTGTTGTCTTATAGCATGTATCACACAAGAAGAATCTCAGCACAGTGCACGAACTTCCTAATACCGGAAGTAAGTTAGGCGACAGAGAGACAAAGATAGGCACAGAGAGAAAGATAGAGAAGGCAGAGAGAGAGAGAAAGAGAATAAGAGAGATATGATGAAAATATTGGCAGAATGAGTGAGAGAGAGACAGAGAGAGAGAGAGACTTAGAGCGATTGACTGAGTGTGTGTGTGTGTATATATATACACACACACACACACACACACACACACATGAAAGAGTGTGAGAGATTGAAGGCTACAGTGGGGGCAAGAGCGAGTTAGAGAGTGAAAGAGAGACTGGGAGAGAAGGACAGTGCGTGTTTGTGACTGACACACACACACATATACACACACACACATAGACGCAGCGTGAAAGAGAGTGATGGTGAAAGAGACTTAGAGAGTGAAAGAGAGACTGGGAGAGAAGGACAGTGCGTGTTTGTGACTGACACACACACACATACACACACACACATAGACGCAGCGTGAAAGAGAGTGATGGTGAAAGAGACTTAGAGAGTGAAAGAGAGACTGGGAGAGAAGGACAGTGCGTGTTTGTGACTGACACACACACACACACATACACGCACATACACATAGACGCAGCGTGAAAGAGAGTGATGGTGAAAGAGACTTAGAGAGTGAAAGAGAGACTGGGAGAGAAGGACTGTGCGTGTTTGTGACTGACACACACATACACGCACACACACATAGACGCAGCGTGAAAGAGAGTGATGGTGAAAGAGACTTAGAGAGTGAAAGAATGAGAGAGTAAGAGATAGTGGAAGATGAAGTGACGGGAACTGAAAAAAAGTCAGAAGGGTAGAAACAGTGATTTAGTGTATGCAAATGTGTGTATACCACAATCATATATTTCTTTCTATCCCAAGGTTTCTTTCTTTCCAAGCTTTCCTGAAAAAAAAAAAAAAAAAATAAACCAGGTAACCCCAATTTCACCACAGGCCTTCTTCTTTTCTTCACCTGGACAGTTATTTCAGAGAAACCGTTGGTCACAATTTTATGTAGAGCTTGTGATAGCTTCTTCAACATTTCGTTCAATGATTTTAGTTCTTTTTGCATTGCATATCTGTGTATAAATTGTACTAAGTTCTCATTTTCTGTTACATTCAGAACAGTTTGATTATACTTCTGTCTTTTTTTTTTAAATCGTATTCTCTTCACATAATTGCCTACTGGAACTATCATTAACATATTCAGATGACGGACATTTTGACAGGACGATATGTTTTCAGCCTACACTGTTCGATTTCCAACTCGCAAAGTGTTTAAACGTCCTAATTCGAGAAGGATGGATGTCCCATGCACTGCCCACGTATCAAGTGGGGGACTCCGCAAATTAAAAGAGTGAAAACTAAAAATGCAGCAATAACAATGAATGCAATAGGTAATTTAAAATAAACGCCTATGTGACACTGCTGGGGTATCGTGATTATGGAATGTAGTAGCTAGCTCTCTTTCATTCACTTACTTTCTGTCGCTCTCTCAGACTCAAGCGTACTAGCTCTCCCTCCCACCGTCTCTCTATGTCTGTCTCTGTCTCTGTCTCTGTCTCTCTCTCTCTGTATCTGCCCCCCCCCCCGCTCGCATTTTTGAAATGAACTCTTGCCAACTAAACCGAAAGGCTTATCTGTCCGTATACTGCGACATCGGAGGCCACTAGGTTTCTATGTGTGAAATTTTATATAAAACTAAAGAGGACACGGAAGTCCGCTGCAGTAAGAGTCTAACAAGCGAAAGAAGCCAAGTACTCATTTTGTTTAGTTAATTGAAATCCCAGGTCTGCAGGCTGCCTACTACTGGTTTCTAAAGACATTATCTGCTCAATGCACAGAAGGGAGGTTAAACAGTCATGAGCAGGACGTGACGATTCCTTGGGTGAGCACAGTATCAGAGCAATATGTATTGGCTCGACATTTATGCAAGCTTCTTTAATGGCGAGGAAGGCTCAAGTTATACCCCTGCCTTCTTTTGAGTGCTGACCAAAGATGACCACATATCAATGATATTGCAGTGCCCCACCAAACTAAATGTAAAGGATAACGTAAGCATCAACTCATCTACATCTTAAGATGAATGCAGAAGTAAAAGATTCTTGTAATCGATAAATCCTTCCAATTTGTTATGTTCCTCTGACTATCAATGTTTGTCTGTACTTCATCATATATTTCATTATTTCTATTTTCACATTCTCTGTCTCTCTATCTTTCTTTCTGTCTGTCTCTGGGCCTCTCTCTCTCTCTCTCTCTCTCTCTCTCTCTCTCTCTCTCTCTCTCTCTCTCTCTTTCTCCCTCTCTTTCTCTCAGTATATCTGAATTCCAATTCACTTACCACACGTTTCGAGAGTTTGGTTAGCAGATCACCTACCACACTAGACCTCCGATCTCCACATTTATACACCGCAATAACCATGTTCATACTCTCTCTTCCAGAACATCAGCAAGTCCAGATTCTTCAAAGTGGCGAGAAGTCGGACTCAGCATCAATGAGATGTGAGAACAGAGAGCACCACGTACATTATATTGAAGCCAGTGACACGGCGAAACTCACGAAGAGACTATCGCAGATCCCAGAAATTGAGAGCAACGTTTTGTTTCAGTTCATCCGCTGCATGTGTGACCTGACCGCTTTGACCGAACTAGTGATAGCAGACGGTATACGATGTGGTACTTGCTTTGTTCAGAAAATTGAAAAGTTCGCTAACACGTCCTGTCCTTGTCCAGAATGTCAAGGTCATCGAAACACCAAATGGGGGAAGGTTACCTTGACAACAGCCTTGCATGTGCTGAAGGATGAAGCTGACGCCTCCAAATGTACAGTTCGCTTTTTCATTGACAGTGAAGACAGTACCGATCAGGGGAAGATAATCTACGGGCTGAAGTCACATTCACGGGATGTTACGGGAGACTGGTGTGCCCTTGTTTGTGCGACACACGATCTTGATCTTCTTACACTTCTAGAAGACAAACTAAAGGAGTACTGGAAACTTGGTCGGGCACTGAAAGACAAGTACCAGAAAGAGAGCGAAAATCTTGTTGTTGTCGTGGTGTCGCACCCACACGGCGGACCAAAGCGTATCAGTCTCGGCGAGGCCAAAGTAAAAGACTTGGCACGGGAAGTCAGAGAAGATCAAGATTGGTGCTATTACTCCTACGATGCTGTCACGTGTGACGGAAGTAGTGGCGCCCCAGTGTATGTCCTTGGCCGATGGAATGATGGATTCGGATACTGGTTTGGGCACACCCATAACCACAGCGGCATTGACAACTTTGACCTAAACAGCAGCACGGTTGGCGTCGATTCCACATATGGCTTGTCAAGGCAGTCATATCGAAGCGTCGTTCTGGAGAAAACAGACGGTTGTGGACAAAGTAGTTTTCAGAAGGAATAATGGACACAGAATGTCAACATCGTTAAACATGATATGTTAACTGGCCTATGGTTTTGGTTATTTAGTGCAACTGAAACTCTTATGTAAGTGTAACGCTAACTGAATGCCGGAAAGTGAGAAGTGAAATGTTATATAAATCATTGTCTGTTGTATTGCAGTGAATCTTGGAATGTGAACAAGCAAATGATAAAAATCTTGGAGGCAGTAGAGATTTGGTTTTTTAAGTGAATGTTATGAACTCCACAGTCAGCAGGAGTAACTGACACTGCTGTCTGATACATGCTAATGACAGCAAAAATGCCAAAGACACTAACACAGAAAGAAGCAGTCTTACGTGGTCATGGAGTGAACAAAGAGATAATTCTGAACATTGTGATGACTGAGAAAAGACGGAGAATAATTGTACTCGGTGGCACAGGATGGTGGCATACAGAATGCCAACAGTGGAATTATTACCTTGACGTCACACGTATTGAAATTCTGTAAGTACAGACACAATACAATAGCGACGAAGCAATGTCTGTGTCATAAATTCAAAATTACGACATCTGATGATGACGAGGCTTTGCTTTCGCTCGTTGTCACAGAGTGGACATGTTCTTTCCGTGATCTCGACTCAGTGTCCATAAGAGTCTGGCTTTGTCACTTTCATGATGCAGTTCTGATGCCAGTCATACGTCTAACAATCATTTAGCCAACAATCATACAGCAGTCGTAATGTCAACCACATAGTTAACATTACCACAGCAGTGGTAATGATAACCACACTGCTAACATTCATACAGCAGTTGAAATGTCAGACAAACCGCAAACATTCATACTGCAGACATGTTTTCAGTCATACCCCAAACAACCCGTGATATTATTCATACAGCAAACATGCAAACATCAGTCATAATATCAATCATAATCTAACATTCATATGTAATTTGTATTCTTTAGCATCTCTTCCATTTTGTAACCTGGAAACTGCTCAATAATTGTATGTAAGTAATGTATAAGCGCATATGGGAATATTTTGTCTGCACAAGCAGTATCTATTTGATAGCTGTCAGATGTGCAGTTACATGGCTGGCGGAACAGAAGACAACTCACATATGGATAGTGACAGTCATTTAGCAGTCGAGTCATGCTATTTAATATGACCGGTAGTTGGTTTACATATAAAGTTTAGAATACGTTATGTAATAATTTGTCCGTGTGTATAGCGAACTCATCGTGACCGAGTACTTCCATCAACGACAAACTGCATTTTCTGATGGTGTATTTCCTGCATGCACATATAACTGGAGTGTGCCAGAATTAATTGTTTGATAGATTTTCAGATTTGATATTGAGGTACATTTCATCTGATTGTCACTGACCAGGAGCCGAGCAAAATTGGCGTGACCTGACTGCAGTAAAGTTGTTACCTCGACTAAGACTTATATAAAGACTAAGACTCAATGAACACACTTAATAAGATCCAAACTGATAAACTCATAAACTGACTAAAATGGATTCCCATGAAAAAAAAAAAAACTATACAGGCTGTACATACCAGAATATGCCGGCGTAAAAGGAAATGAAAGAGCCAACAGACTGGCCATGTCTGCAGCGGTTAGTGGTGGCGGAAAAGAAAGGGGGTTGGGGGGTCGGGGGTTGGCTCAGCGAATGCAGACATACTGAATGAACTACGCTCCAGAGACGTCTAGACAAGGGAGTTAGAGACGATGAACTGCCTGGTGAAGCAGGCGTGCTGAAACCAGTTTTCATCCAAAGTAATAATGATCAATGGTTATAAGTACGAGGGTGGCTGATTAGTCCAGTATGTGCCTGGAAGACAGCAGTTGGAAGCAGCAGTAAGTGTGGGAATAGCAATACGGTTCTTTCTAGTCTGCCTCCGTTTCTCTGCCTGTGCAACCTCCGCTGCAGACAGCAGGTGGAAGCAGCAGTAAGTGTGGGAATAGCAATTCGGTTCTTTCTAGTCTGCCTCCGTTTCTCTGCGTGTGCAACCTCCGCTGCAGCCTCTCATGTTGCTGTGTTGATGTCAAAAGGATTCAGAGCAGTCGCGAGAGTGTCCTTAAAACGAGCGTTTTCTATGCTTCCTGGGACCTCTCCCCATGCTGGAGCTTGCAATTCAATACTCTTTCTGGGAGTCTGGCAGGCGGGATACGTGACCAGCCCAAAGCAGCTGATAATTGTTCAGTATTGTGTGGATGCTAGGCAGATTTGCCCTATCTTCTTCTTTTCTTTCGGTTTCGTATGCTCAGATCAGACCATCAGAGGGTTGCTTCTGTGAACTCGCATGTCAGTTGCAGGTCCTTCAGTGTTTCCCATAGCTTGCTCTGCACACTTTGCCCTTGAGGCCAGGTGTCTTTTCGAAGTTGCAGGTAGAGTGGGCAGGTCTGCAGAATGTGCTGAGGTGTTTGTGGTCCTGTTTGACAGACATACTGTGGGGACTGTACAGTCTTTATTTTATGCATGTGGTAGTTGAGCCTGCAGTGTTCTGACGGTTTGCCCTATCAATAAACACAGTATTTGCCATTTGATAAAGAGCAGTTGTCCGAGACAGGGTATATAAAACTGGTTCAACGTTTTAGCATAGTGCTGATACACAGTCAACGTTTCGCATGCGTAGAGCAATAACGACAGAATTACAGCTCTATAAACCTTTAGCTTAGTCAGCAGGGAGTTGAACCATATGAGATTTCATCCACACAATCCGCCGAGTCAAGTTTTTGCATGCCGAGTAGGCACATCCCAATCACCGAGTGGTTTAGAACTAGGTCGGCTACCCTCTCGTGATTTAGCCAACATAGGGACTGGTCGCTGTCAGTTCCCGGGTACTAGGTAGTACGTTGAGCATGGAGACACTGAGATAGCTGCTGCATCAAAGGCTCCTGCACGTATGGGTCATATCTATGTGCAAGAATGTTGATATCGGTATATTATTATCGTTTAATACTAACATAGTCTGAGATGTGTGAAAACAATTGTTTTATTTGAGATGTGTGAACGAAGTAAGAGGTTTAGAATGTTTGAATGTTTGACAAGTCTGCGTGCCTAACTGTTAACCGTTTGCCAATAAAGCTGATCTTTTATTCACTCGTTTGTTCTGTTGCATGTCAGTCACTCGATTAACCAATACAAATGTCATCATCATCGTCGGCAGCATCTAGCCTTTTCTTCTTCTTCTTCTTCTTCTTCTTCTTCTTCTTCTTCTTCTTCTTCTTCTTCTTCTTCTTCTTCTTCTTCTTCTTCTTCTTCTTCTTCTTCTTCTTCTTCTCTTCTTCTTCTTCTTCTTCTTCTTCTTCTTCTTCTTCTTCTTCTTCTTCTTCTTCTTCTTCTTCTTGTACTTCTTCTTCTTTTTCTCTTCTTCTTCATCATTTTTTTCTTTTTTCCACTCTTATTCTGCTTTTGCTACTTCTGCTGCTGTTGCTGTTGTTGCTGCTGCTGCTTCTTCTTCTGCTGCTTCTTCTTTGTAACCATTATCATGTGTCCTGAGAGTGAGTGTTGGCCGTTAATGATTTGACATCCCACTTGAGTTTTGTGTGCATATCCGTTTTACAGATCTGGCTTATTTGTATGCATTCTGTTGGTTCGTTCTTTTTCAGGCAGATGCACTCTGATATTGAAAGAAACATACATAACTAGCCTTCTTTGTTTTCCAAAATGTAGCACCGGACCCAGGCAACAAGTTTTAAAGAATAATTCTGATCAAACACGCTCAAAGGTTGTGACTGTATACATCCGCTTTCGCTAATCCAGCTAATTTGCTCCATCGCAGCCTTTGTTTTTGAGACTAGTACCGTAAACTTTGGAAAGAACTGGTGCCCTTTCTATGGGGTTCTCTAGAGTCATTATCATCATGATCATTAACATGCAGGCCCTTGACGTCAGGGTACAACTCAAAAGTCCCTCGGCAGACAATTCTCTAGCTCTATGTGCTTCTATAGCCAATACATTTTCAATTTCTTGTATCCATCTTCGCTAGTGTCTGCCTCCGCCTCGTTTTCTGCAAACCACACCCTCCGTCACCGTTCTCTCCAGGCCATCATGACATTTGACATGACCAAAACACCCCAGTTTTCACGACAGGATGCTGTTTACGAGCCAGTTCTCCTAGAATTGTACTGACCCACAAACTCAAGTTCTTGATGAAGACAAAAGGTGGCAAGTCGCTCTTATCACCGCGTGCTTAAAAGAAACTACGTTTTGTCGCCAGCTCTCCTACGTCGTGCAAGTTCCTACCCCAGCTATCTTCTATGTTCTGTGCTAGCCTTCGTGTCGGTCAGCCCTGCCTCTCCTACCCGGTACCTTGCCCTCCACAACCGTTCTTTCATCTGGGTACAGATTCGACATCGCAGCGTACAGGACAAGCCTATAGTAGCTCCGACACCTCTCTAACAGCCCGCGAAGAGTTTCTATTCTGTCGTACCCTCTGTCATCTACCTAACTACTCGTCTTGCCTTTCTTGACGTTTCGAGGCGCATTTAGAGCTTGTAATCACTCCCTATGCTATCAGTGCCAAACGTGGACACTTACATCCTCCAATGAACGTACAATTGTGACAACAGAGACGAAATGCCTTAGAAGAGCTGCAGGAGTTTCAAGGAAAGACAGAATACGAAATCATGAAATCAGACGAATGCTAGGAATAAAGCCAGTTTTACAGGTCACCAAAGAACAACAAATGAAGCGGTTTGGACACCTAACGAGAATGCCTTGGTACTATCTGCCACAGCGAGCCACACTAAAACATTACAACTGGTATAGAGCGAGTGGAAGACCTCGGAAAATATGGAGTGATGGCATTAAGAACAGCCTTACAGAAATGAACATCAGTCTTAATAGTGCTCTTGACAGAGCCCATCAACAAACATTACATCTCCCCCCGACACTTTGATGAGGTACAAGGTTAAAGAGAAGAAGAAGAAGAAGACACTCCCTGTCGCATCATTCTCTCCACTTATGCGTTTTCAATAACTTCTTTTTTATTTACCTTGTCCCACAGGGGA